GATGTTCGAACACTCATGTTTATTGCAGCATTATTCATAATACACAAGTACAATAAGTGGAAAAGACCTACATGTCCATCAACAAATGGTTGGATAAAGAAAATGTGGCACCTAAATGCAATGAAGCGCTAACTGACCTTAGAAAAAAGAAATCCTACAATATGCTATAACATAAATCAACTTTGAGGACACTGTGCTATGGGGAAAATCAGCCAGTCACAAGCCAGTCACAAGAAGACAAGTATTTCATGCCTGCACTTACATGAAGTATCTCAAATTTTAGAAAAAGTAGAATGGAATCTGCCAAGGGATGGGAGGAATAAAAGAACGTAGTTGTTCAAAGGACACTGAGTTTCATCGTTTTACAAGATGATAAGTTGTAGACATCTGCACAACAATAATGCTGACAGTTAACACTGCAGTCCTGTATGTTAAAAAATCCTGTGAAAATTTTTTAGTACAGTTTTTTAAAGGTATTCATTCTACACCTCTTCCATAATTAAATTTAGAAAAATCTGTTTTCTGCTAAGTAATTACTATATGTCGACTGCATTCTGGAAAAGAACATGTGAAACAGCCTTATTCATTCAATCTCTTGTGTCTAAACAGTACATATGAAGGACCAGAGGAACTAGAGGACGGAAGATGACTGACAGCAGTAGGTCCCAGGACATTTCTCATACAGAAGAAAGAGTTAAATGACAGAAACAAGTTTAAGAAAGTAAGAAATCACCCAACTATTCTAACCTACAGTATGGTTTTTCATTAAGGTTTCAAGGGTAAAACTTCAGGCTGACATATTCACAGCTGTGGAAAGCAGCATGAAGCCCTGGTGCACATCATTACAAACAAAATTGTGGGACACTGAAGTGCTCAGGGCCAACAGCAGCAGATCTGGAGAAGAGTCAATGAACATGAGTTCTGGTCCCAGTTTTCATGCCACAAGACATAAACTTCAAAGAGGCAAAGATTTTTATGTGGAAGGGAAAAGAATCTAAAAACAACAACAGCAACAGCAACAACAACCCAGGAACAGTCTAAAGCAGCAGAGAACAAAAACACAATGTGTGGGAAAAGAAAGGGTCTAGGGTTTACAGCACCCATAACCCAGCTTCCGCATCTGGGAATGCAAAAACCACTCTGGGCAAGTCACCATCTCTTACTACAGTACTTATTTTACCTGATCTTACTGAGAAATAGGAGACTTTTTAGAAAGTGCTGTTTTCTACCTTTTACGACAGTATTTTTTGTTTTTGTTTTTGTTTTTCCTTCTCTGGCTATTTCAGAAACTTCCCATCCAAGCCTAGAATATTTGTACTCCTCAGGGATTAAGGTTTTTTTCTTTTAAATTTGTCTTTACACAGTTTCATCTTTCAAGGTTTGATAACCAAAAGACTGCTAGTGTCTATTTCAGTATAGATCAAACTCTGCTACAGATTTCTCAATCTAGTACCTAAATTGAAGTTCACAGGATTCCAGGAACTTAAGTTTAAAAGAAACAGCCAACTAATACTATAAGAATGCCTGATAATGGAAGGCAGTTGAATAGAGAAGAAACAAAAGGTAACTACAAGCTAATGACACGAAAGGTAGAAAGAATGTTTTAGGAGTAGAAAAATGTGTGAGTCAAGAAACAAGAGCTTGAAAACAGGTATTAAAGGACAACTGTAAGCAGTTAAAAAGAGCCTACAATTCAAGAAAATGTTCAGCCAATATGAAAATGGCATACAAAAGCCAAACAGAAAAACTTCACAAGCTATGAAAAAAATCCTGATTTTAGTCTACAGTAGGGTAAAAGTTAATAACCTGATCATCTTGCCAGATTTGTCCCAAGATTCATAAGCTGCTAGATAAAAAACAATCCACTTAGTTGCTAACAGATTTTAACCAGGTAAATACTAACAAAATTTCTCTTACGACATTTCACTGTCAAAACTGTGACTAAAGTAGGCAAAACTGGAACCACAAAACTCACTTAGGGATGTCTACTGCAGAATGAAGTAGTAGCAACAACGCAAAGGCAGAAACCGACACAGAAACACTTGAAAGAAGTAGTTTACAGGGGTACGTGAGTACAAAGAGCTAAAGACAGTGCTTAGTTTTTGGTATTAGATGGTAATAAGAACATTCACTAAGTGACTTGTACATATTTTTTCATTTAATCTTCATAACTACCCTAGGAGAGAAAAAGTAGGTAGGAAGGTCCTTGTGCATTTGGAAGAACAGCATTCCCTGTATTTTCATCAATCTCTTTGGCTTAAACTACTCCCACTAATATTCCTTCAAATCATTTTTTGGGGAAAAATGACATATAAATGAGTAAAATTCAAAGTTCATGCTAATTCTGAAAACATTCCCTTACACACACTTAACTGAATTACTAGGCTCTTACTCACTCCTCCTTCTGAGAAGACTCAGCCAAAGGCAATTCGTTCATCCAACCCTTCCCAGCAGGACCTAGAAGCAGGTTTCCTCATATTTAAGAGAGAAGGTGCAGACTTACAGGATACTGGGAGGAAAGCAGACAGACTGCGACTTGTGTCATTTCCACACCCAAAGCCATTCCTTGGCTCCTCATGTCCGTCACAACACCAAGCACTTTAACACTGTGTCATGATCTTTCCCAATCTGGTCATGGTTTCTAATTTACGGCTACTATTTCACATCTCCCATCACCAAACCCTACATTCCATCAATACTGAACTGTCTGCAGTTCAGTGGACTTGCTCTGATTTCTTTTTTTTTTTTTTGACTCTGAGTCTAAGAAAATAATTCTTCTTGACTAGAATGTGATCCTTGATCCT